TAATAAACTGTGCTCTAAAAGTGCTATAAACAAAAGTAGTGTCTTGTAAAAATAGGACAAGAGTTTGCTCTAAGAATAAAAGTCAGGGTCAGAATTCAAGAGGGCATGAACCAATGAAACTAGGAGAGATTCAACAGGACTCATGCAGACTTCTCAAGAGAAGACAAAAACAGTTTTGATCACATTCAACCCTCATTTATAAAACAAACTCTTATAAAACCAAGAAACACTCTTAATTTGTTCCAAACCCAACAGCAAACACCTGTCTTAATTCTGAAATTAAGTAGAGAGTAGAGTAAGGCAAGCAAGGTCCTCAACACAGAGAATTGAAGGGGGCACTAAAAGCCTCAGAATCAAGGGAAATAATGATCAATGCAGTATTTTAGCCAATTTTAACTCATAAAATCCATGATGCTTTAAAATATCAGAATTTTAAATAAATACCAATGTCATCAGAAGCAAATGGCATCCTATGGCAGAAGAATGAGAATTATGTGCTCCTACATAATACTTTTGTGTGAGCTTTTATTTAATGCTTTTTTTCAGAACAGCAAAATAGGTACACGGTACTAAAAATGGAAAAAAATAGGTGGTGTTTTACACCTATTTTAAGTTTAAATATTTTATGTGTACTCAAAGCAGAATTTATTATAGCTTCACTTGCCTAGTTTTCATGGGAGCAAATTTACCAGTAATATTTTCAGTCTATTTCTAAACCTCTCTCATTTTCAAAGGAGAGCATTGACATATTTGATAATATTTCCTTTTTTACAAACAAAATATTTTAGTGCATTTAAAGAGTTGATAAGACACCGTTTTAACTATAACTTGAAAATGCATTATGGAATGTTTTCATAGCACAAATTGTAGGCTCCTGAATTGTGAGTTCTTGAACACCGTTTTTATTATCTTAACATTTAAATATTAAGACATAGAGGAAATTCAATAAAAAAAAAACTAAGCAAAATAAATACATGAAGATGAAAAGCAATAGAAGTGGTCCTGACTTTTAGAAGCAAATACCATGAAAACAATGTTCAGGCTACATGAATGTGGTTATTCAATACAAGGCAGAGTGGTCCTGCTCATGGAAATAATGCGTGGTCTCTTGAGAAGTCTCATTCTTCAATCCACATAGAACAGTGAATCACATGAACACATTGGAAAGATTTTCAAATTTCTGGCTGATTTGAAACAAAATGCTGACCTCAAAGACAGTCACAGTCATATGAAGCTCAAACTATGCTAGTAAAAGAGAACAATGTTGACAAGCTGCCTAATGAGTATCAGTAATTGAAAGATGATTTAATAGTCATTCACATAAAAACTTAAAATCTTGCAGATTAAATACTGCAAAAGTTTGAAAGAATGTTCCTAAATTGATAATAATCTTAATTATTTACATGTCATAACCAGAAATGATTTTGAAAGCTAAAAATCACTTTTCCAAGTTATCAGTATAATTTTTTTAATCTGTATGTACTGAAGTACTGTTACAAGAATAAACATGTCATGAGGATCCCAAAACATTGCCAACTGACTGGCAAAGAATGCTAGATAAGTATAAACAAAAAGGAGCAGGGTACCAATACTGAAATTAGAAAATTTAGGGTTCAAAAGAAAACACATTAAATGGGATAATGGTATAAAATCTTAAAGAAAACTAAAGTCACAGTGAAACATAAAGCAAGCACTTCCTTCCAAAGGAAAGAGGGGGATTTAATATAAACTTTTATTGGAGTGTGAGACTTACCCTTCGTCCAGAATTTGTTAAATAAAACTCACAAAAAATTTAAATGCAGAACTAAATAATTCTCTCAAAACCCTTCATTTAATTAATATACTTAAAAATCTACAGATTGTGTTCTATTCAAAGGTCCAACGGAAATGTATAGTAAGTGTACACAAAGTTCAATAAATTCTCAAACCAAACAGTCCACATTTTCTTATCACAATATAATAAAAACTACAAATTACCAAGAAATAAGTAAGCATCCAAGACTGGAAATTTATCAATATTGTACTTTTCTAGCAAATCAAAACTAAGAATCACTATTGCCACACTTTAGGTTCAACATTTTTAGGCTAAATAATTGAATTTGCTAGGTAGCTAATAATGTCTACTATCTCAGTTCTCCAAAGTTTGCACCATTGAGACTATTGTTTGTGCTTCTTTGTGGGGTAGTTGAATAAAATGGGGCAGCTAAACTTTTCACTTCCATCTGCCTCCTAAGAAAAAACAGAGAATAGTTATCATAAATTGGTTTGCAAAGTAGAAACTTCCTGCATGCTGTTTTTGTAAAGAGATGACATTTTCCCACCAAGCGCATGCTATCCAATTTTCTGTTCATCATACCACCATATTAAGCAGCAGAACTGACGGGGAGAAATTATTGTTATACACACTGAAATGTTTTGCATGGTCTCAGTTGAGATGGTCTCATTCTAATTGGTGTATGAATCTTTTTATTTTACATTTGGAAATATCAAATAAAATTGAAACAAAAAAATAAATTCTGAAACCAAACAGGTCATATTTTCTAATCACAATATAATGAAACTAGAAATTAACAAGAAAAAATTAAGCACCCAAGTCTGGAAAGTTACCAATACTGTATACTTCTAGCAGATTGAAACTACAATCACAAACTATTAGCCACACATTTGGATCCTGTGGAAGTTAACATCCACAGAGGGACTTGCAAAGGTGTAGGACCAAGCAAGCAAAACCTTGCAGATGAGCATTCCAAGAGAGGTGTAATGGATATAATGTGTCTTCCCAAAATTCATGTGTTGGAAACTTACCTCCAAATTCATATGTTAATGTGTTTGGAGGTGGGATCTGTGAAAGGTAATGAGATCATGCAGATGGAGTTCCAATGGTAACATTAGTGGCTTTCTAAGAAGAGGAAGAGACACCTGAACTAGCACACTGGTTCTGTCTCATCAACACATGATGCCACCTGCCACATTGTAAGTGCAGCAAAAAGGCTCTCACCACTGCCAGCCTCCTGAACCATGAGGCAAATAAACCTCTGTTCTTTATAAAGTTTGCTGTCTATGGAATTCAGCTTCAGTAAGAGAAAACAAACTAAGGCAAGTAGGAAGTATCTAGCATGACCTTCCTGAGTGGGGAGCAGACTGAACCAGTGTGCTTGGAATACCAAGCGAGAAAACCCTGAGAGGAAACAAAGGGCAGATCACTGCACACTGTAGGAGCTAGTGTTTATACTAAATGTGACAGAAGCTATTGATGAGGGTAATGTGATGTGGTTTATATTTTTAAAAAGGCCTGTCTGTATGGAACAAACTTGGGGCTGAAAGTAGAAGGGCGATCATCAAGACTAACTAGGATGCCATCACAGTGGGCTGGGCTGGAGTTGATGGCTTGGTCTGTTGTACAAATAGTAGAGGTAAGGAGAAGTTATGGGATTTGGGATGGATTCAGAAAATAGAAGGGACATGGAATGAGGTGAGAGAGAAAGAGAAGAATTAGGAAGAGCCCTAGGTTTATAGGCTAAGTAAGTGGATAAATGGCAGTGACACTTACTGAGATGGGAAAACCAGAGCTACAGGTTGAGGGTATTCAAGAGTGAAGACTTGGGGTGGGAATGTAGTAGCTCCATGTAGAGCACATGCCTATCGTGTGGGTCTTGGGTTCAGTCTTCAGAACATTTGTGCATGCACACACATGCAGGAAAGAGTGTTAGTGTATGAGAGAGAAAGAGAGAGAAGCAATAAGTGACAAAAATGATGTTTTTAGATCACTAGCTTTTTCTGTATTTAAGAGTGAGATTGTCCATTAATTCTTTTATGAATGTCCAGAAAAGGCCATGGGATGTGCCTCAGATATTACTCAAGAAGAAAGAATTAAAGAAATGGGCTTGAAAATTAAGTATTTCACTTGCCTAGAGGGTCAGCTCTAAACCAACCCTGGGTCATTTTGACAGTAAGAAGATAGGAAAATGAGCAGATATCAGTAAAGAAGATTCCAAAAGCAGGAAATTAAGAAAAATGATACTTTAGAAGCCAATGAAGAAAAGTTTCAGCTGGTGGAGTGGCTCAAGTGATAGAGTGCCTGTCTAGCAAGCATGAGACCTTGAGTTCAAACCTCAGTACCACCACACAAAAAAGGAAAGTTGTATCATAGACAGGCATGATTAAGTGAGGAAAGTTTTGCTTCATCACAGAAAGAGAGGATTACAGTAACAGGACCCATGATTTGGAATGATGAAAGTCACTGATGATTTTGATTAGGGTGGTTTGGGTATGGTGAATATAGTTGACTAAAATAAAACAAAATGAAATGGGAGAAACTGGAAATAATAAATATGGACGATTTTCTTGAGGAATGTTGGTATAAATGAGAGAAGAAAAGTGGTAATGTCTCTGTGAGTTTAAGCCTCCTTTTTAAAGTAAGAGATATTATCTAGCAAGACAGGAAAATATTTAATGATGTAATTTAAAAATAGGAATAATGAGATTATAGCACATCAAATTCTATGGAATTAGGATAAAGCAAAACTCAAAAGAACATACTGTCATGTTTAAATAGTGTTATATTAAACAAAAAATGAAATGATTTAAATATTGAGCACAAAATGCTAAAAGAGAACAAAATATAAACCAAAGGAGATGAGCAAGAGATTACCAAAGATAAATTAAGAATTAATAAAATAATTAATTTCAAGAGATGGCTCTTTGAAAAGACCAATAAAATAGAAAAACATTTGCTAAATTTCCCAGTAAAAGGGAGAGAAGCATGCCACATAGAGAATTTTAAAGGGCTATCACAAATATCAAGGAAACTCTTCAGTAATACACAAACAAATATACATATAGGCATCACCTTACATATACTTGGCACTGTTCATTATTTTACATATATTAATCCATTTAAATCTCATACCAACCATATGAGCAAGTATTTTATTAGCCTAATATCACAGATAAACTGAGTTGGAGAAAAGAAAGTAATTAGGCTCAGATCACCCTCCTACCAAGAGAGAAGGCTGAGTTTAAGGCCTCAGTGCTCATTCAAAGGTGTAATCAGACCCTCCTTTGTGCCCAAGGCTGCACCTGTAGGTTTTAATGATCCTACAAGCCACACTTCTCCCCTTCCCTGAATCACAGCCCAGGACAATGTAATCTGCTAAAGAGGCTGCTTCCTAAGCAGAAAGAGGTAGTAGGGAAAAGCTGGATCCTCGTCATTCTCCGTTTAAAAGCCAAATTATTGAAATTATATTTTTAAGATATACAGGGACATTTTGATATACATATGTGTTATAAACTAATTACTGGTCATCTGCTTAGTTACCATGTGCATGTATGTGTTTTGAAGTGCTCAGCACATTTCAATTACACAGTACGGTATTAACTATAGTCCTGTGCTATACATTAGATCTCTAGAACTTACTCATTCTAAAAAACTGAAACTTTGTGCTCATTGACCAGCACATACCCAGTTCCCTAAATTTGTACTTCAGATACTCAGTGAGTAATGTTTTGATGTATGTTCCAAGCAATATTTGAGACATATTAAAATTTATTCATTCATTCTAGAATTCCACTTTAACTGGGCATCCTCTATTTTATCTGGTAGGCCCAAGGAAACTAACTGCAAGTTTCCAATTTTGTCCTGTATATCCCTGAAATCATAGCTTGCCAGAAGACTGAAGACATTTTAGGGCAAAGACTTCCTGTCATGTGCACATTTTAGCTACAAATACTGTACACAAGAGAATCTGAGATACCTGGTTTTTAGCACTTTTAAATATAGTTATAAATTCTTAAACATGAATATGGATATAATAAAATTTTATTTGATTCCTGTTTATCAATCAATAAATAGGTAAAGTTGTGTGTTTAGCCAAGACAAGTTGTCAAATGGGTGTCTTCCAGAAGCATTCATTAATTAAAAAAATTGCATCACAAGCATTTGCAGTATGTACACTAATAACAGGACCTCAAAGAACTATAAGGGCTCCTTCTTAAAGTTCCTATGAATATAAAATGAGGAAGTGTCCTCTCAGGAGGCAAAAATTTCTATGTCTTAACCATTAAATTTTAATGGCTTGATTTCAGTAATCATTAATTTGGAAAAAGTCTTCATTATACAAAAATTAGCTCTGAAAATATACATCATGAGATTTCAGGGAAAGCACGAGTTTCTACTGCACTAAACTTGAATTTAAACCTAATTTCATTAGTTACTAGTATGATTTATTTTTATTTTTATTTATTTATTTATTATTCATTTATTCACAGGTGCATACACTGTTCAGATCATTTCTCTCTCCTGCCCCCACCCTTTCCCCCTCCCCACCCCTTTCAGGCAAAACCTGTTCTGTGCTTTTCTCCAGTTCCGCTGAAGAGTAGAAACATGCACATATGAATAAAAGAAAAAAAATAAATAAAAAATAAATAAGCAATAATAAGAAAGACATAGCATTTTTGCTAGTTGAGATAAGGATAGCTATACAGAGAGATTCCTATCATTACTTCCATGTACAAATGGGTTACAACCCAGGTTGACTCATCTCTAACTGATGTTTACACTAGTTCCTGATCCCCTTCTCGTGTTGAGCTCTGTCGCTTTAAGGTTTCTGTATTAATTCCTCTGGAGTGGGGACATCACATGCTTTCATGTTTTGGGTTTTCTATCTAACTTTGTACCTCCCGTGTATATGTTCTCCCTTTGTTATGTAACCCACGTCTTATAACATTGCTGCATTTTCCCTAGATCCAAAGAGCGCATATGAGGGAGAAGATATGATTCTTGGTCTTCTGAGTCTGGCTAACCTCGCTCAGAATGATATTCTCCAGTTCCATCCATGTACTTGCAAATGATAAGATTTCATTTTTCTTCATGGCTGAGTAAAATTCCATTGTGTATAAATACCACATTTCTTGACCCATTTGTCAGTAGTGGGTCATCTTGGCTGTTTCCATAACTTGGCTATTGTGAATAGCGCTTTAATATTTTTTATTTTGCAAATTTTCAAACCAACAGTAAAGATAAAATTCCAACAAAAATTCAGTTTACTTATCTAAGTTCACACTGTCAACATACAGACACTTCCATTTTGCCAGATAATTTGATTATAAACCAGACATCATGACACATCCTGCTAAATTCCTTAGCAGGCATCACCTAAAAAAAGGAACATTGTAAAAATGAATGCAATTATTGATGATAAGAAAATCAACATGAATGCAATGTCATCACTCAGCATAAAACTCAAACAGAAATTTCCCCAATTATCTAAAAAATGTCATAATGCCCTAACCAGCCCCATCAGTTATCAGTCGAGATCCATGCATTTAAGCTGGATTTTTTTCCCCACTGCCTCTGGTCTCCTTATGCTCCTTCAAACCAAAATGGTTCTCCAACTCTCTTGGGATTTTTTTCTACAACATTGAATGTTTTGAAGAGTCCAGACCAACTGTCCTAGAACATTGCATTACTACCTAGATTTTTCTTTCTTTTTTGGGGCAGGAGGTCAGTAGTAAAGTTTGAACTCAGGGCTTCACACTTGCTAGCCAAGCACACTACCACTTGAGACATGCTGCCAATCTATTTTGTTTATAGGTTGTTTTTCAGATTAGGTTCTACATTTTTGCCCGAGTCTGGTCTCAGACTGCAATCGTCCTACCTCTGCCTCCCACGCATCTGTGCGTGCAAGCATGTGCCACCATGCCTGGCTTGTTTGTTGAGATAGGGGTCTTGCCAACCTTTGCTCTGTTGGCCTCAAACTGTGATCCTGTGTATCTCCACTTCTCTAGTAGTTAGGATTATAGGCATAAACCATCATCCCCAGCTGATTCTTTCTTCATGAAAACTGTCCAGCATGAGCCCCCCACTATGCTGATATCTTATGTCTCCTTACACATCACACCATTAGCACAGGATGCCAGGAGGACATTCTGTATATCCACTACTAGCACTTTTCATTACAAAGACACATTGCCCCTGCCAACTAGTAATTTGTGGTGTGATCGTTTGAGGTCATGTAAGTATTCTATGCTTCAATATATAACCTCAACCTATATCCTATGGCACAACCATTGATCAAAAATTCATGCTTGCATCCATTATGCTGTATGCTACAAAAGGACGATTTTCCATTCTTATTATTCCTTCTACAACTATTAGCTATGTTTCTACTGGAACATCATATTACCATAAATTCATAATCTACTCTTTAAATTCAGTGTATTATCATTTATTGCCATAATTTTTTGACACTAAAATTGTCCCAAATTTGGTTAGCGGTAACGGTTCATGTTGGCTCCTTGGTCCTTTTGATATGGCATCATTAATTTTTCAGCTTTTTTTTTCTTTCTGGCCCAAGATACAAGTTCACCTTGTCCTTGCACTTTCCTTGCCCCAGACCTGGACTCAGCCATTTCTCCAAGGAGATAGTTGCTTTTATTTTAATATTTCTTGGGACAGTGTCTCATTATATAGCCCAAGTTTGATTCAAAAATGCAATTCTCTTGCCTTTGCCTCCTGAGTGCTGGGATTACACACAAGCATCACTGGGCAAATACAGACTTAACGTATATGACATAACAATGCAGACTTAATAACTGAATCATCTTCTTCTTCTTTCCTGGTACTGGGAATTGAACCTAGGACCTTGTACACGCTAGACAAGTGCTGTGCTTCTGAGCCTCCCTACACCCTGGGCCTGACGTAGTTCTTTTAAATGGGAAATAACTTCTTGAAATCAAGATCTGGATACTTGACACCATTACTACTGGGTTATGTCTTCTAGGTTCTCTTCATATATATGTATGTATCATGAGTTAATACAACATGTGGAACTGACATCCAGTACTATAAGATTCTTTCTCATCATCTACTTCTTTATATTGCCTCCTCCCTCACTTAAATCAATTGAGGTTTTCAACAATATCAAAATATTTACTCATTGGTTCATCCTAGCACAAACACAAAAATAACTTCAGAATTACAATACCAATATCACTATCTCCAAACCTAGGAAGTAAAATTGTAAAAGTAACTAATGGTTCTAGGTCCAACAAAAGTAGAGTTTAGTAAGTATGTTTAGGAGCTAGCTGAATGAATTATTTTCTGTGTAGGTGGGTTAGTAACTTCATATACTGCTAAAATAATCTGTTTTTGTTTGTATTCCTATTTAGGTGCTTGGTTTTTTTCATAATTCATTTTGTTTTAATGTCTTTTGCAGCTCTGGGGATTGAATTCAGGGTCTCAAAGATAATATGCAAGTGCTCTACCACTTGATCCACTCCTCCAGTCCTTTTACTTGTATTTTGGTTTTGAGATAGGGTCTTGCTAACTTTTGCCCAAACTGGCCTTGAACTTGTAATCATCCTGCTCTGCCTAGGCCCGAGTAGCTGGGATTGCAGTTATGAACACCATGTGTGGTTTTGTTTTTTGAGTACATATAAAATGGGTGTTTCACACATCAAGACTATGCAAAAGGCTGCAGTCAATGAAGTCTTTCTCCAAATCCTCTCCACCTTGTTCTCACCACACATGGAGAGAAGATAAAGATAAACAGCCTTTATTCATGTATAACCCTAGTTCAACTACTTACACAAAAGGAAGTATACTATATACATTTTGTTTCTTGCTTTTTCTCACTTAATAAAATATCTTAGAATTCCACTATCAATTCACAGAGATCATTCTCACTCTTGTTGAAATGGAAAGAAGGAAGATTACAAAGTCCCCAACTGTGAAAAGTTCAGTCAGACTCTAGTATAAAGTTAGGTCTGAAGCCGATGTAGAAAGTAAGCTTGCTTTGGGTTCGAGTTAGAACTGAACTCAGGTTAAAACCCCAATGTCACTTTAGCCCAAGAATAGATTCCATTTAATACCATAACTCTTTACTCAAGACCCTCCATTCTAATATGTCTAAGTCATGTAGTCATTTCAGCACATCCTGCTCTTCACCCAGATTCTGGGTGAAACCCTGGGACAGGGAAGACATGAGACCCCAGACTTTAAGAGACCCTACTCTAATGAGACACACAGAGTGTGCATGAATAACTATATATCTAAAGTGCTCTGCGCATACAGAGAAGAAGACAACTATCTCCCTAGAGGAATGAAAAAAGAAATCCTACTAGAAGGGAGTTGAGTCTTTTTCAGGTTTTAAAATTCACTCTAAGCCTGATTTTGGGTGAGTATTGGGATACTGCCTATACCACCCCCTCCTGCTGCACGGAGAATAGCTCTGCGTCATGAGTCTCTTGTCAGGAATATACGTGTGACATTAGCGGAGGTACTCAAAGTTGGGGACAGGACTCACTGCTCCCATTTCCCTTTGGCAGAAAGCACTGGCTTCAAGATGAGTGGGTTTTGTTCATCAGGGTCAACTGTGCCTCCTGGATGGGATCTTGGAGGTAGGCGAAAATGGAAACTTTCTTATTTCTTGTGAAAAAACACAGTGACTCCAATGTAGCTCATTTCATTTCCTTTACAATGGTCAGATTCAGGCTAATGTTGAGCTGTGTGATCAATTCTAATCAATTGTGACTGTGTGCTCACACTGATGTGAGCACGGTTCTCCTGGAGTGTCCAGAACAAAAATGGCCATGACCCTGAGTGAGCATCATGACCACTCACTGGGGAGGCCTTGTAGGAAACAAGTGCACAAGCACAGTAGTTTGTAAAATAAAGGAAAATAACCTCAAACACATTGTCTTGTTTGCAACGCATAATCTGTTGGCACATTATACAATGATGACTTTTGTTATGCTCCCATCTGAGACTATTTAGGGTCTTCTAGTTTCTGCCTGGATCTCGTCTATGCACACTAGCAGCAGTTGAGATGTTTTATTTTTAGCTAATACTGGATAATTGACAAGTAGAATTCTTCCTAAGATATGTTTCTTTCAAATCCATTATCATTCTTGAATGCATGGGAATAAAAAACTAGTTTTTAAGAAAAATGGTTTTATCTAGTTTTTCCATTTTATACTAAATCATTAATACAGGTCACAAATCACATTTATTCACAAACCACATTTATTTGTAAACATCTAGAAAAAACCCAAAAGTTTATATATCTCTTTATACATCTTATTAATAAATTCACAAGTAAGGAAACTTGTACCATAACAATTCTAACAGTATGACTTAAGACTCTTGTATTTTCTCTTTAACTATTATAACCCCTGGTACAGAGTGTAGGCAACTGGTACCTGCCAAGGAGTCAATGAGAAGAAGTTCTCTACACCCACAGCTATTACAGACCCTTGTGGGGAGGTTGAACTTCAGCTTTTGTGGAAGCAGAACACCAACGTTCAGGTTGAGGAAGGTGTGCTGGGACATCTTCAGAGACTTTGATACTGGCAGGATGTTTGCTTGCAAAATATTTCACATCACTGTCTTGGTCCATCTGAAGTGCCATGATGGTTTGCTCCACTGCTTCCTGATAACAACTAGCAGATGTTAAGAACCATTCTTTTTTAAGGAGAGTTTGTCTTAATGTTTTTGCAAGTAACACTCTAACATTTGGAACCTTGTCATTCACCAAGATCAGCAAATATGGCATCAAATGTACAGTAAACTGCTCCATGGGGAGGCAATCATCTTCAATGACATTCTGGCAGATGAAGACAAAGGCTTGCCAACCAGACCACTTGGGACACCTCCCAAAATTCTCTACCAGCTCATGGATGAGATCAGCTCCAAAGGTCACAGGTGTCTCCCTGTGAAGCTTCTTCACCATCTTGCTGACAAGCTTGTATGAAATCCAACGAACAGAAGAAATTTTGTTTGCACAGAGTTTCAGAGCAATGGGACATAAATAGTCATAAACATCTTTGGGATATATAATTGTAGAAGTAAAATCAGCTGCTGAGCCAGTTCAGCTTGAAAACGCCAATTTATACTGTTACCCGCCACTAAAAATCCCTGAAGTTGAAAAAGATATTCTCTCCTTTTGTCAATATGAAGAAGCTTCAGAAAATCATGCAAGTGTTTAAGGACACCTATCCTGACTTCATCAACATCTTTTAAAAATTGATTAAAAATTGGAACCAGATCTGCAGCTGTCAACTGCTCTCTGAGGATAAGTGCAAACTCATGCATGGAGAATGCCAAAGTTCTTCGAACTTTGTATTGTGCGTCTGATGCCAGAGTCTTGTACGTCTCTCTCAGGTAGTGCCAATTCCTCCTGCCAAGTGTCAGGGCCACATCTGGCAGGCTGTATGCACAATGCTTAGTGATTTCAGTGTCAACTGTGTCTGCAAGAGAGGGATTGGTCATTGACAAGTACTGATCCAATAAAACCTGGGGTACAACATCTTGCACTTCAGGCCTCCTCTCCTCAGAGCTGAAGCCACTGCTGGTGCTTGCATCAGCATGGCTGTGGACATGGTGAGCAGTGGTGTCTATATTGTCAACAGCATCACTGACTAAAGGCACAAAATTATTTTGATTTATGTTACAACTAGGTATCTCATTTACCATATCCAACTCTTCTTGCACCTCATGTTTCTTTTCTGTACTGAAGGTTTCCTCATGAGCATCCAGCCAGGAAGCATGCAGCACAGTGGACAGCACTTCCACCTGTGCTTTAACATCTGGATCATCAATGTGGGGCTCTAGGTTTTTTATTGATTCTTCCAGTTCTTTCCTGGTAGAACCTGGCACAGGAACTTCAGATACTACTTCTGGTCTCTCTGGGCAGAATCTCTTCCCAGAGTGCTGTTCAGGCTGTTTAAGCTCAGGATGATCAAGTTCATGATGAAGAGCTCTCTGGAAATTGAAAGAGTTGCATGCTTCCTGATCTAAGTGAGTGCAATCTTGTGAATTGGTGCCAACCTCTGGTGGGAATACAGATTGGTTACCACATTTATTATCAATTTTATTGCTGGCTGTTTCCTTATTAGATTCTGAGGACAAAGTACAGAGTAAAGAGCTATCCACTGGAATGCGTATTTCACATGAAGAGTTTCTACAAGTTTTAGCAGCACCATCTTCCAGTATGTTTCCCAGTTTGATGCTGGAATTAGTGGTACTGAGATCTGTAGAAACAGTTTCTTGTCTGATTTTCCCATCCTCAGCAATGTTTTGACCTTGAATCCTATTTTTATCTTCTGAACTTTTTTTTCATCTTTAAAATGTTGTCCTGAGCTAGATGGATTAGCAAAAGTACTTATGAAAGGTCCCAAAGACTGAAAAGCTGCTTGGCGAACCCAACATGAGGGATCATTGATCAAGTCCACAAATAGTGTTAATAGCAGGGTCCTTTGAATTTCTTGATGTGTTGCACGTGAAACTGCCATGAAGCATGCAGCACAAGCCTTCCTGACTCCCCGTATGTTATCATAACACAGCTGCAAAAACCTTGGCAGCAGCATTTTCTCAGTAGCTTGCTGGCCAACTACACTGCAAGTATTTCCAATATTGTCAGCGCAGACCTTTCAAACATGAAGCATTCTGTAATCACAGCACATCTCACAAAATCTAGGAAGGATAAGACATTCTGCAATATCCTTCCCAACCATGGGGGCTATCTTACACATGATAGGCAGAACTTCTGCTTTCATGAAGTCATCACTTTCTGGGGCTGATAGCTCCTTGATCAGAGGCCATACTTTGGTCTCCACATCAAATCGCTCAATCGGTTCCTGCTCCAGAAGAGCCAGCAAAGCTTCCAGACTTGTTTCCCACACCTCCTTATTCGGCTCTCTGAGATATCTAATGACAATAGGTAGTAAGTATTTGGAAAAAGCATATGTTCTTGAATGCCAGTTAACTTTGCAAAACAATGCAATGTGAGGCATCTGTTTCATTAGCTCTGCTCTCACAGTTGATTCTGAACCATCAGCTAATTTACTAATTCATTTCATAACAGCAATACAGTCTCTTTCATTGTCACTGACAGCCCTCAATGTAACCAGCAAACTCTGGGCCACCATTTGTCTGTTAAATACGTCCTCACTTGAAGCATTCTTGTCTAATCTCTCTAGCGGTGTCAACATTTCATCTTCTGAGACAAAATCCAGGGCTGAGGGTATAGTAAAGCCATTAGACTCTAAGCAGTAGTCATCCACATCAAGTTTGTCAGCATCTACACCTGAGAGAGAAGAAAGACAGGTCAGTGCCCTTGGCTAGCATGGGGGGCGGGGGTGGCCTATCTCCTAATGCCTGCCCAATGCTCACCTGCAGCTCCCCATTGATGTCTATTTTGAGGTAAAAGAAACTCTGTATGAATGTGCAAGGTTACATTTTTTTCCTAGACACACCATTTTCCTATTTATTCTGTGACTGATTATTGCTTCTGGTTTGAATCTTCTTAGGAAATAATACACATGTCCCACAGACCTATTACTTTCAATATTTTTTTGTGTAAATCTTTAGGCCATGAATAGATTTTGTTTCCCTAGGACAATAACTTTTTAAAAATAGTATGTGACAACAGGTCATCTTTCCTTTATTTCTTCAGTGTCACGTCCCTAACACTGGGGGTGAATGTTGGAGGCAAGGAGTATATGAGAAAAATCCCCATTTATTTCAAAGATAGTTTGTACCATTCATTGAATAAATATCCTTTAGCCAATGCCTCTCCTCTGCACGGCTTTAGACCCCAACCAATTCAAAAGCTGAGAAAGAAGAAAGCACACACCTGAAATCCTTGAGGATTTTTCCTCTGTATCAGTATGTGTAAATGTTGGATTAGTGTGCATGCAAATATTCAGGTTGATTTGTATACAATCTGTTGATCTGATTTTCTTATGAATAAAATTGCCCAAATTATTCTGCATTTTGCTTCAATTGGAAAATTGAGAATGATGCCCCTCGATACAAACATGTGTGTACTGCAATTCGATGACAAAATTTATTAAGCAAAGTAACCATCAAGTCTGGTTCTTTCTTAAATGTATTTTGAGATTTAGCTTTGCCTTTTGTGATGTATCATCTTATTTGATAAAAGAATTCATGTTGTCTATGTGACCAATGAAAGTTTAAGCTTTTGCCCTGAAAATATGAGGTGTATGTTCTTGCCACAAAATATAAGTGTTAAACTAACTGAATTTATAGAAAACAGTCATGTTTTGAATGTGCAAGGGTCCATTCTTCTTAGACACTTTATTTACCTATTCATGTGTGAAGGATTCTTGCTTCTGTTTGGAATCTTTCTGGGAAATGAAACATATTCCATAAACCATACTTTCATGCTTTTACCATGAGCTTTTTCACCTAAATCTTAGGCCATGAATAGAATTTGCTTCCCTAGGACAGCAAAATTTTAAAAGTAATATGTAACAATTAGCTCTCTTCCCCAGAATTGGAGATGGTGGACTATCATTCTCACAAATACCTGTGACAGAAGTACCGATGAGTAGTCCTGTCCTTGTGGATGGTGGGGTTTCATAGAAGTTGTTGTTGTGGCAGGATCTAGAATGATGGTGAAACATCCAATTCATGAAAGAGCATCTTCCTTTATCTGTTATTGGCTCTGGATCAAAGAGGAAGGGAGATTATTTCATTTAGTGTTTCACTTATTTCACCTTATTCCCACCATGTTCATTTTATTGTGTGCTAGGTACAATACATAGTAGAAGAACTGAGCTATTTGTACTGTAAATCTCCCACATTCTGAAACTGGTTAATTGGCTTGCAGAGTTAATATATTCTTTTTTTGTCAAAACCAGTTCACTGGTGGTTAGACCCAGTGGGCCTGATCAGACTCAGCTTAATTCTTCCCATGTGAATGCATCTTAGACAGTGTTCTCTCTGGCCTGTAGCAATGTATCACAAGACCATCAACACCTAATTAGAGAAAATTCCAGATGGTAAATACGCTTGATTAATTGACATGTCATATCCCATTTTTAAAGCTAAAACTCCAGTTGTTTTATAATGTTCTACTTTCAAAGCAAATCTTCTCCTGTTTGACTTTCTAAACATGTAACCAAGGTCAACTCTATCCCATCAAGGGCATCTGCCCTTACTGACACAGCCTGCTCAGTCAGCCTCTGGTCAATTCACTGTGCAGTCTGTGTTCAAACCTGAGTCCAAAATTTGTACTGATCAGCTATGAATGTTTTCCACACATGGTACCTTCATATTTTATTAAGTAACATATACCAAATATTTAAAAACATAACAGGTAAGCCAACATTTGCAAGATGACTGACATTTGACCAAATATGTTTAAATAACTGCTCACTTGGCTTTTCTGGCATTTGCTATGTATAAAAACATGGGGGCAATGCTTGTTGGGCTGAATTAGATGCCAGTGTGGATTTCTGGCTTTGCCACCTACTTGGACAATTTATTCAAAGCTCCTTTAGGTTTAATTACTCTGCTTACCCTGAAGGATACTATCTATACCTCATTGGACTAATGTACTCCTCAGAACAAGGCATGATTCATAGCACTCTTGATGAAATTAAATTGATCCCTCACTCAGTTTAAGGCAGCCTAGAAAACATTCTCCTCTTTACAAAGCAAGCTCTACCCCTATTTTCATTTCAGTTGGCAGCCTCCAGAATTAATGCTACCTCTCTACCTGTTGTACATACTTGCAACAACACAAAAGGTAGAAAAGAAGAAAGTGCACACATTCTTGAATCCTAGAGGATTTTCTGTATGATAATATGGACAAATTGATGACTACGAATGTAAATACAACAGGTTGAATTGTTTCTCAGATTTTATTATTCCTAAAATTACCCAAAATACATTCTCTTACTTAGTCTTAAGAAAAAAATAGTTCCCTGTCCCTTGATACAAAGATATATACGTGAGCTATTCTATGAGCAAAGTCTGACAGCAAAGCAAATAACAAGTCTAATACTTTCTCAAAAATATTTTCACACTGAGCTAGGTATTTTGTGACATATGTTATTTGATAGGAGAGATCATATTGTCTATGTAATGAATAAAAGTGTATACGGGTGCCATGAAAATATGGGGTGGTAATTCAACCTAACTGTACAGAAACCCAGCAGGTATTAAACAGTCCTAGAATGAATTAGGTTAGTGAACTTTCCATGATCAAATTAGGGTATGAAAAAATGTAAAAATCATAAACTGTGGGCTTATAGAATAACAAAAGGACAACAATAAAATAAGAAGAAACTCTGCTCCAGACAAAATATATCCCAAAATTATAATACATCTGTATCACTAAATATCAGAGGGAGAATTCTTTAATATTTGAGGAACAAACAGTAAGTAAGATTAATAAAAAGTCCCTGACTGATAATGTTCTTTGCAATTCTAGACTACATATACATCTGTGGCATATGTGGAATGTAAACTGGCCTTGGGTTAGAGTTGGATCTGAATTCAGGACAAAATCCTAAAGACACTTCACATTAAGTATAGATTCCATTTAATACCATAAGTCATTACTCAAACCTATCCATTACAAGTGTACCTAAATCATGCAGTCATGACTACTCTAGCCCCTGTCTTCTAAGCAGCAACTGTGGGATGGGTAAGATATGAGAATCCATAACTCCAGAGATAATCCTTTAATGAGACACACAAATGTGTGCATGCATAACTCTTTGTCTAAAGTGCTCTGGGGATACATATAAGAGAGCAATTATCTCTATGGAGAATTGAAAAATCCTCCTAATAGGGACTGTGTGTTAACTTCAGTCATTAGAGGCATTCTAAGCCTGATTCTGAGTGAGTATTGGGTTCCTGCCTGTACTACCTCCTCACACTGCATGGAGAATGCCTATGGGTCATGAATTTTTTTGGTCAGGAATGGAGGCATGAGCTAAGAGATAGTACATGAAGGAAGGGAAGGTACTCACTGCTTCCCTGCTTGCCCGTGGTTGGATGCCTTGGCTCTAGGAAAAACAGGCCTCCGAGGTCTGGGGACACTTGCTGCCTAATGCAATCCTGGAGGGTCAAAGAAGTTAACTTTTTCAGTCCCTGTGGCATGAATGCCTTATCTCCAAGGTGGTTCATTTCAATAGCGTACGGAAATTCATGTCCTGTGTGGAGAAAACTGAATATTAATTCAGGCTGATGGTGATGGGTGTGATCAAACTTACCTTTGGCTGAGCTCACAAACATTGGTATGATCTTGGTTCTCTTGGGGTCTATGGAGTGAAGGATTCTGTGTCTCCTGAGTGTGAATTATGCACACTTATTGAGGAGACCATTGGAAAACAGGTGCCCAAGCACAGGAGTTTAATAAAGAGATTACAAAAAAAAAAAAGAACACCTTTGAGGATCCAAAATGGCAGCTAGGGTAGGGAATCAGAAATCCTAGCTCCATACTCACCAGAAAACTCCTTGAGACGTTGGAGCTACAATTGGGTAATTCTGATTGCTCCTAGCCAAAATAATAACTACCATCACATTAGGTGCAAATAAAATTCAAAGACTGACTCTTTGAATTAATCAGCCATTAATTGCACTGAACAGTGACAAAAATCCCTTGCAGCACAGCCAGCAAGGCATGTCTGGCCCTGGGAAAAAAGCCCCTCAGCTGTTTCTCTCTTTTTTCTTTCTTTCTCACAATAAGCAGAAGACAGACATCAATCAGAATCAAACTCTGCAGCATCCTGAACCCCTAGCCCATGGAAAGCCTTCACATAGGAAAAAAGCAGAGTAATTTCTCCTCACCAGCTGGCTCCAAAGCTGCTGTGTGAAACTGCAGAATGAAAAGGTGAGCATTAGGTACCATGCATGACTCCCCTACCTAACACTCGGGACAAATATCCAGTGCAGCCCTGGGCAGACTGACCTCCCCAGCAAAACTTAGAAACATAAAGAATGAACTGTAATCTAACAGTGACGCAGAGAAGGGGGTAGAACACAGAACCTGCCCAGAGAATTGTGGTAGGGCAAGAAGCCAAACTCTCAGTGAACTGCAGGGAAAAGCAGCAAAGGCTGAAAGCAGGGGTGGGGCAACAAGCCAGGCATCCCAGAAGAGCCACCAGCAGCCAGAAGACATGGAGAGAGGCATAAAGGCTGAAAGCAGGAGTAGGGAGACAAGCCAACCTCTCAGAGGAGCCATTAGTACCCAGCAGAGGCTGGGAAAAATCACAAAGGCTGAGAGCTGGGGTGGGGCAACAGGCAACCTCCCAAAGCAGGGCAGGTGGTGGATCCCAGAGCTGGTCTCTGAGACAGGGAGGAGCTGACCAAATAGAGCTGCAGAAGAAGAGCAATGCAGCTGCTGCCTAGTGAAAACAACAGCTCTGCACCACCCTGCACGAGAGGGCAGTCTTCCCTCACAATTTCAACTAATCTTATCATATAGAGCCATAGCAAAAACAGCAGCATGGAACTGGTACAAAAACAGATATGAATACTTGTGGACACAGAATAGAGGACCCAGATATAATCCACACAGCTATGCCTTATTTTTGACAAAGGTGCCAAAACCTACAATGGAGAAAAGACAAATGTTTCTGGGAAAAGTGGTTACTCCAGCAGACAAACTGAAACTAGATCCATGCCTGTCACCCTGTACTAGTTCCAAGAGTGGATTAAGGACTTTAATATCAGCCCAAAACCTTGAAGTTAGTACACAA